CTAAACTTAGTGCACTTGCCTACTTTTTCTCACCTTACTGATTTCTCTGTTCTGCTTCCGTTGATTGTTGGCAACAGTAGTCTCTTGTTAAGCTACTCAGGTTCTACCATAAGTTACCCTGAAGTTGATTTAGCTCTCCAGATACAGTATATTATTACCTTCCCATTTAATACTTAAAACATTCAACATTCCACATTTAAATGTTGTCACCCCTTCTCTTACTATATCTGGCTTTTTTTCCTTATGTGTCATTCACTTTTTGAAGAGGGAGATACTTTGGCTTTACTATAATTGGCTAACGTAATGGGAAAGGAAATTAATAGAACTTTTTGCATTTTCACCCAGTAGGTAGGTCAACTGTGGATGTATAAAATACATTCATAATGATCAAAGAAGATACCACTATTGTGCGTTTGAAACTCAAAGGCAAAATGCCATGAAGATGAAAGAGGACACATAGAAATTTAGTCAATTTCAAATTAAGACTGATTGTAGCATGTGAGTCTTGCTACTTGTCCCATGTGACAGTGACACTGTCATTTTCCATCATTTAAAATTCCATATTTCTTACTCTGTCCTCAAAACACAATTTTAAACTTTGCATTTATTTTCTTTTCACTGCTAGTATTTGCTGTTTAGTTTTCATTGGTTTAAAATGTTTGTTTTCTATTGTTCATTCTAGGTAAAATATTCTCTTCGTTTTAGTGGTTTCAGCAATTACTTTTCAAAAGAATTGAGATGGAACACAGATCTTCTCTTTCCACAAATACCTCCTCCCGGAGTCAGGAACATGGATGAAGAAGGGGGAAATCCTGGTGAGCAGATCCTTAAGCATACTTATATTATTAGTTTGATTGTAAGCTAGCAGTCATATCAACGTGTGTGACTCATTTTTTTTCAACACGTGAGAAAGTTGTTTATTCATTAATTTTCATAATAAATTTTTTAAATTTATTTTTGTTTTAAAGACAAACATATAGAAAACGTTACACATTTGAAAAAGATCTTTATATTACCTTAGATCATTTCCTGAAATTTATCAATGTATATCCATACATTTATATAGTCTTAATTGGTAAATGTTGGCTCTGCCGACTTAATAGATACACCTTCTGCATTGTCTGCATATGTATGGTTCTAAATTATTTTGGGGAGGAGTTGATGAGTATTTTTTAACTATGCAATCATAATTTTAAATTCTTTTTAAATTGTATAGATCAACTTGAAAGATAAAAAAATAAAGGATTTGAATTAACTAACAGTCTTAAGAATGTGTCTTTAGTAAATTATTCAAGGGAAGACAAAAGCTATGTGCAATTTACCATTATGAATAAAAACTGGGAAATAGTAACAACAGTCTGTAATAAGTACATGGATAAGAATATAATAATATGTCAGTTTGACAGGCTACTGTGTGGTGATTAAAAATAATCATTATCAGGCCTGAAAATACAGAGCCATATATTGAGAATTATGAAAATATGTAGAAATTTATATAATGATTGGAATAACTGTCTGAAAATGAAAACAGTTAAAAGAGTGGTGGGATTGTGTAGTGTGTTGTCATCTTATCAAAAACCGTTTTGAATATTTCTCTAATCAAAAGTTAAAAAGGAGTCTGGCCTCTTTTAAAATTAATGTGCTGCATCCTAGCAAAAGCAGTCCTAAGAGGGAAGTTCACAGCGATACAGGCCTTCCTCAAAAAACAAGAACAATCTCAAATAACCTAACCTACCACCTAATAGAATTAGAAAAAGAAGAACAAACCAAAAAAACACATGAAGTCAGCCAAAGGGAAGAAATAATAAAGATCAGGGAGGAAATAAATAAAATCACATAAAGCAATGTACCTTTTTCATGTAGTAGCTTAGTTTAGGGAAGATAGTAATGCAATTGCATGTTATTATCTGCTGGTGTTCCAAATTGCTGTAGGTTTTGTGAACATGTTTTGTTCTATGAATTAAAAGCTTTGAATTACCTGAATTGCCTTCTTTGCTGGCCTGTCAGTTTCTTAATATACTGAACTTGACAATCTTTGTTTTCTCATTAGGGTACTACAATGAAGCCTTCCTTCTTGTGCAGCATGCTTTAGATAAGGCCATCATGGTGTACCATAATGACAGAGCTGCAGAAAAGCTGTTTGAAAATGTCACCATTTTTCTTACAAAATTTCCGTACCCTGCTAATTATCTTGATACATTTATGTTCACATTTATGTTTATCTTCCCTCTGATAGTTTTACTTATGTTTTCTCCAACTCAACTTACCCTTCTCAGGACCATTGTTATGGAAAAGGAAACCAGATTAAAGGTAACTTCATTTTCTTTGTGGCATTTTGGGCCTGAGGTACAGATCTGTGTGCAGAATTGGGCTATTTCTATATATTTGGCACTGGTGAATGGTTATACTGCAGTAGCAATATACAAATATAAATTGGATATAGAGTGTGCACTGTGTTATTTGTCAATTTTCTGGTGTTTTACTTTTATCTAAATTCTTGATTTGGCTTATAGTTTTATTGACTTACCATTTGACAAGAATGTTATGGAGAGAGATCATGTATTAAATGTCATGACTCCTCTTTGGAATAAAATGGACAGCATATGAGCTCTTGAATTAGATGACTTCAAGATACACTTCAATTCGAAGATTTGAGATGCTCTTCAATGTTAAGTCAAATCAAGGCCATATTATAAAGAGCAGGGGCTCTAAAGTCACAGAGAAAGCCACCAATTCATCCATATACCCATTAGTTAGGTCAACATTTACCTATTAATTATCTGCTTTGTTCCAGGAAGTTTGATAGATCTTAGATTTAAATCCTGGCTCTGCCAGTTATTAACTCTGTGATCGTAGCCTGTTTCCTCGTCTAAATTGAAGACAGTAACGGTAGATTTCTAGGGCTTTCAGTGGGGGTTAAATGAGATGTTATTTTTTTAAAGTCTCTAGGTCAGTCTCTGACCTATAGTAAACACTCCACAAATAGCAGTTAAAAAGGAGACATAATTCCTATTCACAAATTGTGAAAGGTTTAGCTGAGGATATATTAATAAACAGAGTTGCTTTTATAGTATGATAAGCTCCCAGGGATGTAGAAAAGGTTATTCGTGTAGTACTGAGGGGTTGATGCTTGATTTGAGCAATGGGGGGTAACAGGTGTTCACTAGGTGGACAGCACTGAGGGATGGGCTTTGAAACCCTGTCGTATGGCTATCAGGGTTGCTTTCAGAAAAGGGACTCTGGAGAGGGCTATGGAGGGCAGGTAGATTAGGGATTGGCAGGCTTTTTGAGGGAAACACAGATAGTAAATATTTTAGGCTTGTGGGTCACATGCATCTCTGTCACATATCCTTGTCTCTCTCTCTTTTAAACATTCAGAAATGTAAAATCCACATTTAGCTCACAAGACATGCTAAGGTGGTCTGTGGGCTGGATCTGGCACACGGGCCTTACTTTGCTGACAAGAGTTTAACAATAAAGACAAGGCTGACAGTGAGGAGCCAATTACGAGCTAATTATAACAGACCAGGAAAAGCAGGAGGGCCCGAGATAAAGTGGTTTAGTATATAGGAATAGAGAAGGAAGAGTTTAAGAAATATATAGTAACTTATGGTGAAAAAAGAATATGAAAATGAGTAGGTGTATGTTCTATGTGACTGAAGCATTGTGCTATACACCAGAAATTGACACAACATTGTAAACTGACTATACTTCAATAAAA